TTGATGTACCTAACTTCAACAAGACCAGACATCATGTATGCAGTTAGTATGATAAGTTGTTACATGGAGCATCCAACGGAAAAACATCTCAATGCAGCAATAAGGATACTTCGTTATGTGAGAGGAACCTTTGATTTGGGGGTATTCTACAAGAAAGGAGATGATCCGAAGATGGTTGGCTATACAGATAGTGACTATGCAGGTGATATAGATGATCATAAAAGTACTTCAGGAAGTATTTTCATGATGAGTTTGAGAGCTATTTGCTGGTCTTCAAAGAAGCAACCTATTGTAACACTCTCAAATACAAAAGCAAAATTTGTAGCAGCAGCATGCTCGTGTCAAGCAATTTGGTTAAGAAAAATGATTGAAATTTTTAATCAGAAGCAACCAGATACGACGGTTATATATTGTGATAATATGTCAACTATTAAGTTGTCTAAAAATCCTGTGTTGCATGGAAGGAGTAAGCACATCGATGTTCGATTTCATTTCTTGCGTGATTTGTGTAAAGAAGGCATTATTGAACTCAACTTTTGCAGAAGTGATGATCAAATCGCAGACCTGTTCACAAAACCCTTGAAACAACTATTGTTCGAGAAGCTTAGAAGAAAGATGGGGATGTGCAGAATCCAAGATGTATATCAAGAAGATGAAGCGAAGTCCTAAACTGATTTCGGACTGATTTTTGCAGAATTCAGTTTAAGGGAGAGTGTTGAAGCTAATAATAGAAATTTGAATTTAGTTACTAAAGAAGGAGGGGTGAATTCAATTTCATCCATAAAAACCTCAACCAACTCCAGGAATCAATGAAATCCAGTCCTATAAAATGACCTCCCTTCCAATCACTCAAATCACTCCTCTCAATCTCACTTCAATTTTTATTGTCACCAACAAAAAGGACCTATACCTCCTCACATAGAGAGTTTTGAACAGAGTCATAGGTGTCATATCAATTTTTGTTTAATAATTGTTGTTGTAGGTCAACCCTGTTGTATGTAGATGCGTATTCCATCTACTTGGAAGATCTAATGCACAAACTTGTAACATGTCTTCCTAGGTCTAATTTAGTCATTCAATCTAACCATGCCGGAGTACCAAACGTATTTGACCAGTATAATCAAGTAGTCTTACTAAAAGGAAAGGAAATGTGTGATAGATTTGGTGAGCCTCTCAGTAATAACTCAAATTAGGATGAAATATTTCCTCTCATTTCTATTGTTTGTCCATTCTATGGCTGCAAAAAAAATTCCTAGTTTGTGGCTCTAATCTTGTACCATTTGACAAACTATACTAATAGTATTATACAACTAATAAGCTATACTCTTGTTTGTACCATTTGACATGGTATACTATACTATCATCATGTTATACAACTAATAGTATTATTTGATACATCTTTTTGCTACCTAATGGATATAGAACATAAAATTGTGAGCTTCAACTAATAATTCATTCATAAGCTAAAAGTTGTTAGACACACAAGCACCTTGGCCAAATGTGACTAATATTGGAGGCTAAAGAGAACATATTCGACTCTAATTGAGGGCAAAACCTCAGCAAAACGAGAATCCATCAATTATCTATGATACGTTATCTCAATGTTAGGTGAAATAAATAGGCCAAATGTACCACTACTCTCTCATTACTATGAGTATCTTAGCACATTCTAATTTCGTATGTATACAAACATTATCGTTGATCAGAGTGATGCTATTTTCCTATTCAAGGCATCCACAACCACGTTTTTCTAATATAAATGATATAATATCTATACATCATGATCCTTAACGTACTTCACCCATCTGCGCTACCTCTCGTTTAGTTCTTTTGACGTGAAAAATTACTTCGGGCTCTTATGGTGTCTAAAGATTTCAATTCTCCCATACAAATAATGCCTCTAAGTCTTTAAAACAAAGACCATAAGTGTTAATTCCAAATCATGAATAGGTAATTTCATTCATAAACCCTTAACTGGTAGATAACATTGGAGATGACCTTACCATTCTACATTAAGACATAACCTAGCTTCTTTCTACGAAGCATGACTATAGACAACAAAATCTTATTCTCCACCGAGCACCATGAACATTGGCGGTAAAACAAATCTCTTTTCAAGTTAATGACAACTTGTTTCATATGTTGCACTCCACATAAACAAATGGCCCAAATTGCCCTTACGTGTCAACTAAGTCTGTGGTATAAGTAGTTAATGAAAATTACTGCTCAATCATCTAATTAAGATAAACTTATATAACATTCATAAATGAATGAATCGAGACTATGTCTGAGCATATATATCACAAAGAAAGAGATTCGAGTTTCCATCTCACCAAAGACATGAGTAAAAGAAGAGTGCATGGATAAACCGATACTATATCTGAATGAGAGCTCATTTTTTTAAAAGTCACTACTTGTACCCATAAGGTACATTTTTTTTAGTGACTCAACTATAGAAACTTCACCGTTAGCGTCCTTTACTTTGATCAATTCTATGTTAATTATTGAAAATTTTCCTAAAATGGATGTGAGTGAAAACAAAGTATGCTTATCGTGTTCGTTTGTGAAGATAGTTTTCACTCTTACAAACAAGAAGTATGTAACATGATTATGTCACAGGAGAATGCAGGAGCTATTAGCTATCGGATGTCTAATCCAAATTTCAAACCCCGATCCAAATCTTAAATATGGGCTTTAGAGATAATTTAGATTTTTATTAGAAACCATTACACGACTCATGGCATACTATATTTGCTTGGCTCGTTGGAGTTTCATCACGAGGGCCCATGTTTAAGGGCCAGCAAGGTCCATTAATGGACCTAAAAAGGTTAGGCCCATTGACTAAATAAAATAAAATGTATTTATTTATAATGAAAGGTTATTTCTATATTGTATTTATAAAGAACGACATATTTAGAACATTTTATAAAAATATAATGTTTAATTGTAGTGATAATATGCAAAATTAACTTAACACCATTACGATGATGAATATTAGTTAGCCGATACTCGATGCCTCTTCTACTTTTTGAGGTTGTCATGTTGCACAAAAGGTATCAATCCAATCGTTGATGTTACTCATAATAATCGTAACATATTTAGTGCGACTCTAACCATTCCAAACCTATTTTAGTCGGACTCACCTAATATCTAGTAACGTCAAAATACCCAATCACTTTAACACCAACTCGAATTTATGCACGCAACCTACACTATAAACTTTTGAAAATCACAACGAGACCACAATCTCATTAGTCCTAGTAAACTAAAAGTTTTCTTACACAAAACAAATTAAATTAAAGTGGAAATATTGAGTCAAAAACATAAAAAACAAAATGCTCGTAGCATGTTCTAACAACTTGTCACTCCTCCATCACATTCGTTGTTTACCTAAAAATCATTCGAAAAATAGTTAGTATTAACCAACCTACAAATCTAAGACGAAATCAATTTAATTTTATTTTTTCATCATTTAAATTATTTAGATTTTGTACTTGCACATATTTTCATTTCATAAATGACTCAATTATTTCTACTTTTATTACATAATTATTTTGGTGGGCACATGCAGTTATATATTAAATATCATATTCACAATTACAACACCAAATTAAAACCAACATAATTGACTATAAATTTACATTTAATTCTCTTTTTTACTCCCAAAATCTTTCAACATAATTCTCTTATTCATTTTTTTTTTACTTTTACTCTCAAAATTTTCAATTTATTCTGCGTCTTCTTTAAACATTTTAATTTTTCTTCAACACTAAAAAAAATTAACTATTTGAATTCTAATATTAATTTGTCTTCATATTTAACAATTTAATTTAATTTCTATATTACTAAATTATTAAATTATTACTAATAAATGCTACAACAATTTAATTGGGTAAATTAGAAAATATTAGTCAAAGCATTACGTGGAATTAACGTATAAACAACAAAAATAATGCTAGAAATGGACGAAATTAGAAAAATATAACTGAAATTTTAAAAATGTAGATTCCAAATAAATGCCATATTCAAAGTTGAATTGAATTTTATAAATGGATTTTTAAGTGTTTGAACAGAAAAGTCCCAAAATTAGAATTTGAAATTTAAAAGAACAGAAAAAAACTGAAATTTTTTAAGAGAAAAAAAGAATAAAGTAATGACGTGTGAATGTGATTGGACACGTGTTCGTTGATATTGTTGTGAGCCCACTTTTGTTGAAACTTAAAAAACGTGTACCATAATTCTAACACTTAATACCGAGGTTGACTCCTTCTCTAAAGCCCTAAAACCAAGTATATTTTTATGTCGGTTTAATTGACTCTGATATCATGTTATGAATGATGAACTCTGATATCATGTTAAGAATGATGGAGAGATTGACTCCTTTTCTGGAGCCCTAAAACAAAATATACTTTTATAGCTAATTTAAGGGCATGACTCTGATATCATGTTAGGAATTAGGGACCTCCACAGTGTTGTAATATTGTCACAATATATTTGATTTGTTTGTTGGAACGAAGTGGAAATATAATCGATTGCACTCACATACCCATGAACATAAATGAATAAAGAGACACAATGATTTATATGGTTTAGACATAAATTTTAAAATAACGCTATCTCAAAACAATACTAGACAAACTTTTATAGAAGTATAACAATATTAATTCTCATACATGAATCAAAGCAATACTAATACTCATACATTAATCAATGTGATTCATGTACCGTATAGGAGATGAACCAAATAAAATATGATAGATTCATGAATCAAAGTGGAAAATGTAGAATACCATTTGTACCATTTGTAACCGTCCTAAAAGATATTATCTGCTTCGATAGGTATTATCATCAAACTCTGTGATTTTAAAACGACTAGAAAAAAAAGATATTTCATTAAGGGACTGCGAATTAGACACATCAATTAGAATGGATGAACAAAAATAGAAGGCAATGGTATACTAATACATCAACGAAAATATAAATCAACCCTAACTGTACCCTGTATTCTGAAACCGACTTTGTAGACATTCTTTCTCTCTCCTGAAAATTATGATGTCCGATGAAGAAAGAGGAAGGTAAGACAAAGCCCTCAAGAACTGATGAACGAAACCAAACCACATAACCAAAAATTTTCATCATCCCTTCATCTTAAGCAATCCCCAAACTTCTAATTTTTCTCCTAAAAAACACCAAAGATTCGTTCAAATCCCTCGCAGAAGAGTCGCTCAACGGTTGTTTTCTGTAAATTTATCCTCCTTTTAGGTCCCATTGGTGATATGTCCCCTTCTTCTTCTTCTTCTTCTTCTTTCCCACTTAATTTCAAACTGGATATCACAGTTTCGATGACCCTTTTTCAGAAATCCATGGATTTGATCTTTTAATGCCTGCTTCTTCTCTTGATTTTCTGTTCCTTCTTCCCCTGTTTTTGTTTTCTCTGGTTATGGCGTCTTTCAATCATTTCTCTCTCTTGCTTTCTCTCTCCTCTCTCTTTCTCTCCCTTTTTAGCTTCCTCTTCAGGTGGGTTCTTTGAGATTGTGTCCTGTTCTTCATTTTCATAAAAAAAAAACTTGTTTTTTTTTCTTTTTTTAATCATGGGGGTTTCGGATTTTCATAGGCCTCTTGATGGTGGGAGGAATATGGAAATTTCTGATGTTGTTCTTGTTGATGATGGTGGTGGTTGTGATGATTTACAGCCGCCGGAGGAGGAGACCAGCGGCGGTGGAGCTCCTGAGGTTTCAGATGAAAAGGGAACGAATGAGTTTGTTTTCAGTTTCAGGTTTCAAACTTATGAAGAATTTACCAAATCAAATAAGAGAAATTTGGGTTGTGAGAGATTGGATTCATTGAGTAACAGATATGAGTTTTTTCCGGAGAAGAGTACGAGCCACTTCGTGGAAGAACCTGGAATTCCGAGCTTCACGGTGGAGGTTTTGAACTCTTGTTCGAATTTCGAGATTCCCAGAACAGGGGATTTCTCCGTTCGTGAATTTTCCGGGAAAGTTTTGGATTCTCAAACGATTACAGTGAGCTATGAAGTTTCCGGGGAAATTCCAGAATCTGAAGTCATCGGAGAAACGGCCGAGCTTAGCTCTACGAACTCCAGAGAAGAACAAATGGCAGAGAAACAGAGTGAACTGAAACAGAGAGATGAAAGGGAAACAGATTTTGTGTCCGATTATGATATCAATTTGAACGTGGGTGGGTACGAGCCGGACGAGGAAACCAACGAAGAATTGGAGAAGTGGGGGGAGGAGGAGGAGGAGTTGAATGGATTGGAAACAGAGTGGGAACATCAAGAACTGATAGAACAGTTGAAAATGGAATTGAAGAAAGTGAGGGCGTCGGGGCTGCCCACCATTTCTGAAGAATCAGAGTCGCCGAAGATAATGGAAGAATTGAAGCCATGGAAGATTGATGAAAGGTTTAAACGTGGAGATTTAATGGAGGAGCTTCATAGTTTCTACAGAAGTTACAGAGAGCGCATGAGGAAATTGGACATCTTGAATTACCAGAAGATGTATGCAATGGGTGAGTTCTTGCTGTTCTTGCTGTTCTTGCTGTTCTTCATTTTGAATTTGATTTCCTCTGTTTTGGTTACAAAATTTGTGATTTTGAATGATGGGTATGTTTTACCTTAGTTTGGTTGAACAAATTAGAGAGAAAGAGGGGGTTGGTTTCACACTCAAAAAATTTTCATTCTTTTTTAATTTGGGTTGGAAGTTTCTTAGAGAGGGGAAAAGTTCCCATTTTTAATTTTTATTTTGGAACTTTGATTGGAAGGGGAAAGTTTTTCAACTTTTTCTTAATGGTGTTAGAGAGAGAGTAATTGGAAACTTTTAAATGAAACAAAACTACACATCCTAACGAGAATGGTCATGCTTAAAAGAACTGAAAATTATTATTTGTACTAACAAAATACACATCTTCTCTTATAGCTTAATCATAGAAACTTCTCTTATAGCTTAATCATAGAAACTTCTCTTATTGCTTAATCATAGAAACTTCATAGTTAAGTGTGCTTAGTTTTGGAGCAATTCTATATTTGATGACTTCTTAGAAATTGTGTTCAAAAACATGTCAGTCATGTCAAACCATGTTGAAATGACTCGGGTCGGTGTAAAGCGATAATTTTCCCAGATTGCAGGGTCATTAGATAACCCAAATGATTTCATCAATTTTGACAAAATTTGTTTGAAAAATGGTAGGGGTTTTGCAATCAAAGGACCCACTAAAGTCATTTTCTAGCAACACCAAATCTTCATCCCCATCCATCACATCTGTTCTAAGGCTATACAGACAAAAGAAATGTCAAGTGGACCCAATGAAGGATTTCATAAGAGAAGTTCATTGTGATTTGGAGATGGTTTATGTGGCTCAAATGTGTCTTTCTTGGGAGTTCATTCAGTGGCAATATGGAAAGGCTTTGGATTTGTGGGAATCTGAGCCTCATGGGCTTCACCATTACAATGAAGTTGCTGGTGAGTTCCAACACTTTCAAGTTCTCTTGGAAAGATTCTTGGAGAATGAAGCTTTCGAGGGCCCGAGAGTTGAGAATTATGTCAAGCAACGATGCGTTGTTCGTAATCTTCTTCAAGTTCCAGTCATCAGAGGTATCTATCTTCAATTCTCTTCCGTATATTTCTATTTCTATGGATTCATCAACTAATTTGGTTCTTTTTCTCGTAGAGGATAAAACGAGGGATAGGAGGAAAGCAAGACAATGGAGAGATCACGAGAATGAAGCAATCACGAACGATATGCTTGTAGAGATCTTGCAAGAATCAATAAGAGTTATCTCACAATTCATTCGAGCCGATAAAGTTCACAACCCCACTGCAACCCTAAAGCGCCCGAAAAAGTTCCAAGTAGAACTTCAAGACCCTACAGATATGCAACTTCTAACCGAGATCCAAGTTGATCTCCAAAAGGTTCGTTTTTGTTTTACTTAGATCATTCAAGCCTACGTTTTTGAAACTTAAAGCCTCTAAATGTCGATCGGTTTTGTTTGGATGTTTTGGTATTGCAGAAAGAGAGGAAGGTAAAGGAAAAAATGAGGAGTGGGCATTGCATCCTAAAGAAGTTGAAGAAAAATGAAGAAGAAGAAGAAACAGAAGGAGCTGTGAGTTTCTTCAGTGAAATGGATATGAAATTGGTTGGAAGAGTACTAAAAATGTCAAGAATAACAACAGATCAATTGATTTGGTGTAGGAACAAATTGAGTAGAATTCATTTCAAAAACACAAGAATACATTTAGAACCTTCTTTCTTTCTTTTTCCCTGTTGATTTCTAATCAATTTCTCACTTGTATATTGAATGATATCATATCATAGTGATGTAACGACTTCACTTTTTAAAATTTTAAACTATTTGGTAATAACGACGATTGCGAATATCTCAACGTGTAATACCTTTGTTTGACAAAAGGTATAATAACATAAATAAAAGGGAGTAGGGGAGAGTAGGAAGGAAGAAATTAAACAAAGTAGCCCATTGACACATTTCTCTCCACATCAGAAGGCAAGGAACCAAATCAAATCATAGAGTTTGCACCAAAAGTTCAAACCAAGTGGCATTCTAATCATTCATAAATTGAACAAGTTTGCCTACGCATATCATATATATATATAGCATAAAGAAATCCAAGAAAATACAATGTACAAGTTTGTACTCCAGACCTTCCTTGTGGAACTTATCGCCTTTAAAACCTTCACAAACCACCTTTCACTTTGGATTCCACATCCAGTGAAGCAGTAGGGCATTATATGATCAAGGGCAGCGTTAAGGGAAAGAGCGAGCTGGGAAATAGAGAGATGACAGTTTCATCTATCTAACCAACCCAACCCTGCAGGCAGCAATTCAATGGTGTAAATATTTCAACTCATCAAAGTTATAACAATATGAGCCCGTAGCATAAAGTTTTGGACACATTAACGCCAATCATCACGCATTCTTCACGCAAGATAACGGTACAATTTTCTATCTTCTTTGTCCCTCTCCAAAAACTCCCTCTCGATTAGAGATTCTATTCGTTTTTTTATCACAACAGGGTTCGGAAGGAACCTTGACTGCAGCTGCTTTGTGACTTCCGTGACGATGTTATTGTGATCCAATACCCGCCTCGCCTTCATTATTCTAACGATTGCTGCCTCTATCTGTGGTTTTCGATCCTCCTCTACCCTCTGTCGTGTCTCCTGGTTTTCAGGTTCGGACTCCCTTTGTGCAACCACAGTACCGATTTTCACCTTGTACAACTTGCTCGTGAACTTGTCGTTGAAGAAAAATGCATCATCTTCAGCAATGTCCTTGCTCATTGGCTCCTTCCGAAGAACATTCCTTCCTTTCACACATGCCAATGACTGTAGACATCTTTTCAAGTCTACAGCCGGAATCTCTGTGGCCTGCTCAATGTCTCTATAATTCAAGCTATCCGCATTGTTGAACAGCATTAGCACGCACATTTGATACGTGGAAACATTCAACTCATGCTTTTGACCCTTACCGAAGGTTGCTTTCAGATCGGCTGACCCCATATTTGTTTGCCAAGATAATCTTCGCCCAGTATGCGTCCCAAGGTAGTAGCTTTTGAATTTCTCACATATCCCAAGAATTTCTGAAGGAAGGTTGCAAGTTGTGCTAGCCTGAGTTGGCCATGAACCTGTAGTGAGGACCTGCACAACTAGCGTGGGTCCTTCTCCTAACTCGGCACCGAATCTCGCATAGAAACCCTGCATCGTATCCTGAGATGTTTTCATATCAGTGAACATACCCTCCAACTTTGAGGTAAATTGGTACCCACACTCTGTTTTGAGCTTAACAATCAAACTTCTTTCAGCATCGTCAGAGACGGTCTTTCCGGACAGAAGCCTCTTGGCCAAATGTTGCTTGTAATATTTCTCGAATACATCTTTTTCTTGAAGGTAACGGAAAAGCATCATAACCTTGTCTAACACAATTTCGATATCCTCCTCACTGACCCCTCTCAATCCTCTGCGAAGCTTGTCATCTACAAACAAAGAGATAAATTCTGGAGAGCGAGCATTCAGGTTGATAAAATATTCAAATGAGGAATTCAAGGCATTTTGGAACGTCTTATCATTGTTGAATGCCATGCTAATAACCTTATCATATTTATCCTTCAAATCAAGGAGTCGCTGCACATAATCCACAGGATCTTTTATCCTATCAGGATCTGTTACCAGCTGCTTACCTGTATCACGGATGTATGATGTCATAACATCTCTTACTATAGAGAGTCCACTCAATACACGACGAAACAAGTTATACATTCTGCCCAAATCTTCATATTTATCATCAACAAACATAAATACTAATCCTGAGTTTTCCATATGGACTAATCTCTGCATGTGACTTTCTATCATCTCTTTCTCCACGACACTGGTTATCTTAGGTTCACTTCTAGCATCTAAGTAATGGGACACCCTTTCTATCTCTTCATTCAAGCGTCTCTCAGCCTTTTTCAAATAATCCCCACAGTCGCAAGACTCAATAAATTGCTGAGACTCGAGACGATAAAAATCTGCAGAGACATCAAGAAAATGTTTTTCGAAGTCTTCTTGGTAAACAGAAGAGCCTAAATCCATAAGCATTTTTATAATGTTCCTCATTAAACCCCTGTTTATAACTTCACCACTTCTTTCCATGTGCACAAGTTCAAGAAGAGTATCTCGGAGCCTGGTCTGGGTCTTGCTGGAGTGGATGACAACATCCCTCCATAGGTTCAAACCAAGCTCATGAACTGGAGTTTTGTGAGTGCTTGGGATGAAAGTTCTATCCATGTACATCAATATGTCTCGAATCATTTGCAAAGCCTTGTTATGGTCTGCCCATTTCCTGTTCAATTCTACCAAGAAAAGTTCTCCTTGAGCGGCTTCAATTGCTTTGGATATTTCTTTCAGATGAAATGTCATTGTGGTCACAAGTCCAGAGTAAAGTTTTTCCCCAAATTTGTGAAGCACCATATTGTATGCGTTCCTAAATGCATAAGATGCTGAATCATCAGGAGATAAAATCTTTTTACATGAATGCACACACTCGAGAAGGCTTGAAAGTAATAAAAGCAACATGGTTCCTATTATACTAGAGCAGAAAAATAATTTAAAGTCAAAGAAAAAAAAAAGTTGAAAATATATGATAAACTAGCTGATATGCAGCTTCAACAACAAATTGTTGAAGCCACTTTACTGCAGTCCACATGCAAAATAACTTGATTTGATCAAAAATATTAGAAGCCGATGCATTATGTCAAATGATAATTCTAAAAATAATTTTTTCGGATATCTGACAGAAGTGAAATTATCATCCAATGTCCACTGAAAATATAAAGAGAGACAGAAACATCTTCGAGTACTGTATTGTTAACACTCAATCATTCTCACTTGGCTTTTTAATTTGCAAAAAGCACAAGTTGAACAAAAAAAAAAAAAAAGTTAATTTCAACTACGCACACAGAGAAGTCCATCCTCCTAGCTTCAATTTGATATGGTTATGCAATACTCAATATCACCTTGGGCAGAAAATAAAAAAGATTTGATTGGTCAAACTTTGTATGAGAATTTTGAAAGGGATCTGATAAAAGAATCTATAGATGTGATTATAATTATAAAAAAAACAAGTATACATTTGGACCCTGTGCGCTTATATCCTACATGCATACAGAGGTGTTAGAGCATCAGGGCTCCACCTTCTTTTCATTGAAAAAATAAAAAGTACAAAAGGAAAACAAAGGAAAAAGCTATTCATTTAATGTTAATAAAAAAAGAATTAAAATTAATAAAGAATGGAAAGAGTGAACCATGTTGAGGTGTTCAAGTAAGGTAACTCCCATGTTTCCTCTCAATTTTTCTTATAAAAAAGATTCTAAAAATTTCTCTCATCATCCAAATAGCAAGAGCTTTCACACTTGGTAAACTATTTCATCGACTGAACACCAAGAAAGGTTGAAATCAGTTTAAATCCAGCCCCTTACCTTCTGATTATAATCAAAGTCAAAATAGAAATGGTAACCATTTTCCTCTTCTTTTTCAAAGAGGCTGCATATGCTAGGGTGGAGGCACACACGAAAATTTCTTTTATAAACAACATTCTGCGGTACTTACGCCTCCAAGAGCCAATTCCAAACAAAAGAGTTCTAAATTCTTTAGGAGATTTAAACTTTTGATTGCTTTAAACAGCAACCATAGGAGAATTGGCTGGGAATTTGTTTGTGTGTGATAATATGGAAAATTGATTTTGTGGCAAAAATTCTCAACGGATCTCCTTTAAAGATTAATGAATCTTCTTGTGAGAAAAGATGGAATTTCTAGAATAAAGTTACAACCAGTCATCAATTCTCTGTCGTTCAAGGCTCTTCTAGAATTCAGGCATCACACATTTGTTCTCTTCCTTCCTGCAGTTTCTAATCTTACACAATTTCATGTCTTCACCAGGTAGATTCTCAAGAATCTCTCCTTACGAGGATATTCCCCACAGCCATTTTGTGTTACTCAAATAGCACTTTGCTCCTATCTCCGACCTTGGAATTAAGATATTTTTCCACGGGCTATCTACATTTTGTTTATGAAATTCCATGGGATGGGCTTCTTTTACTGATGTTTTCCTTGTGAGCTCCATCCACTATGAATCTCCATAGCAAGTTTTCTCTAAGGAAAATTTCAATTCCACTTAGTTACAAAAGTAATGTTCCTTTTCTTCAAGTTTCCAAGACAGAGACCACCAACCTCTTTGCTTCTATAAACAGAAATTTCCAACTTGTGATCCTTCTGTACCGATTTTAGCGCAATGAAAGTTTCTGAACTTTTCTTTCCAAAAGAGTTGCAACACTTGTTGGTACTTGTACCAACCAAAGAGATTAACCCTAATGCAATTCATCCTTCCAAGATTATAAAACATAAAGAAAAAATAATAATAATAATAATAATAATAATAATTGAAAGCAAACTCTATGAAGGAACAACATTAATATGATTGCTGGTACCAATTCGACACTAAATTGAGCCAAAAAAAAAAAAAAACATGTCTGCAGAGATTAAGTACTTGCAAACAATGTCCGCAAAAAACATAATCACAATCACCTAACAAGCTTAGAAATAGGAAACTTGACAGAATAGAAATGTTGTAGCCTGCAGCCATACACTTTCTCTAAATAGGAAAGGAAAGATCAAAAGCATAATTATGCTAGCTACAAATTGTAGTCAGCTAAAATGTGTAGAAATTCAAGATGAACCGTGAAGTAGGAAAAACTTGCGACAGCATGGTTGCTAGCTACCGATTGTAGTCAGTAGCCAGATTT